AGTCATAACGTACTGGCCAACGGGCAAACGGCTTGGAACCCGGTACCGGGGACGGTATGTCGCCCGCCTCCATATCGCTGCCGCGCAGGAAATGCCGCACGGCCGCCCACTATCCACAGACCCCCTTCCATTTGGACCACCGAGTACGGACCTGGAATGGGCTCAACGGCCCAGTCCTTTCCCAAAAAGGAATTAGCTCTGAAATTTTCTTTTTCGATAACCGTTGCCGACGCGACAGCAACATTTCGCGGCGGCGGTGGGGTCCCCTCTGTTCAATGATTTACGTTGGCGGTGGGCAGTCGGCTGGAAGTCGTCACTTCTGAAATCATTTGCCGCGGTTCTGTGGGGTTCTACCCTAATACTAGCATGAATCCCGAGACCTCTTTTGTGTTTTTTTTTGCATCAATTCTGTGGCTGACAATGGACCCTTCACAGGAAAGCATCCCATGTGGGACACGTGCCATTTCACTATTTTCAGTGATGCTTCGCTAGGAAGGTTCCGCCAACCCCACTACCTTCTTCCCCCAAATACAACAAACGGTCATTATGGCTGTATTTAGACAGAAAGATACCCCAAATACAGCTATAATGACGGCACATTGTATTCGGTAAAAAAGGTAAGCTCGCCGGAATAGAACAGTTGACCTGAGCGGGAAGTGCAAAGGTCATCTTTGTCCTTTTTTTTTTTTTTTTTTTTAGTAGGTACCGCTTCCCTCCCTTAGATGAAACAGCCCAACAGCCGAACCCTCAATCCTGGTGGTTCTCTTACCACCACTGGGATAGAGGCCTTGCAAGAGGTCATGTTTGCCCTGTCCGGAAAGAAAACCTTCAAAAAAAGAATTCATGTGTAGCCACGTAAAATTTTTTCGTTTATCCTTCATTGATAACGTATGCACACATGGCGATTTCAGATCGGGATGTGTCTGTGGACAAGAGTACATTAGAGAAAGACATTTCTTGGGGATAATCGGTAGAAGGCGCCCATGCCAAAACCTTTTCGGTTTTGGACGCCCAAAGTTCAGCCGTTTGGTACTACCGGCCCAATGACTTGCATGTGGGGTACTACAGGCCAACGCGTCGCTCCAAGGGCCCTACCGGATTCTGAATCAGTTGCATAATAGAGCCAGATTCATTTTGATGTAAAAACAACGATTTCGTCAAAACGGACCTTTTATATTTTTTGAACGAAATTGAAATTGTCATTTTCATGCTGATTTTGGTGATTTTTTACGTTGTGAGCTCATTATTTTGAGTACGTACCCCGCATTTGTTTATAGTTTGTGCTCATGTTTACCACAAGTTTTACATTGCTTCCTCACACATTTTGGGGGGTGTTACAGTTTCATTTGTATTATGTGAAGCTATAGGGGTCTTTATTATGAGTTCTTATTGTACTTTTCTATCATATCGATTAGCATTTACTATGTTTCGCAATATAATATCTGTTATTTTTTATTTTTTTTTTACAAATGCATTAAGACAAGAGGCACATATTTAATATCATACTCAAAAACACATAGCAGGTTCAGTCAATGACAAAAAAACTCCATGGACATCTATAAATGTTTGAGAATTTTCGTGCCTCCCAAAAATTACGAACAACGTTATGTGAATCTTTTCGAAGTTCATGTAAAAGAAAATTGACTTCTTAAGGTAAATACAAAGAAACATTGATGCGGATTTTGGCTCATGCCACATATGATACATGTCCGCGGAAATATATGTACATAGATCTCTCTCTCTCTCTATATATATATATATATATATATATATATATAAATATATATATATATATATATCGTCAAATAGAACTGCCCGGTAATATATAAATATATCTATCTATCTATCTATCTATCTATCTATCTATCTATCTATCTATCTATCTATCTCTATCTATCTACTATCTATCTATCTATCTATCTATCTATCTATCTATCTTTATTTCTCTCTCTCTCTTTCTCTCTCTCTCTATCTATCTATCTATCTATCTATCTATCTATCTATCTATCTATCTATCTATCTATCTATCTATCTTTAACTAAGACTGTCTATAAAATTTGGTACCCTAGACTTCATACACTCCTCCACACTACTGTTGATGTGCAGCCGTACAAGATCGTACAAAAGGTGGAAATCCACTTCGACATACTTTTCAAAAAAAAAAAAACTAAAATCCGGCACATGACGAAAAAAAAAACGATATGAGCACTCGTACGAGCGCATGATCTACTCTATTGCCATCTCCGTCAACATAAGCTAAGCTACAACTTTTTCACAACAAAATGTCCGGAAGTGCTACAGCGGCGCAAGTGAACAAGGTCATTGCTCAGACCGTTGCCTCGGCGGAGTACACTCTTTGCAATGTTGAAATTGGTGGTTTACTTGATTTTTTTGAATTTGCGGTTGACCTTTATTGTTTCTTCGTTCTCTACGATGACTGTTGAGATAAAAGCAGTGAGCAACGAATTCTAGCATTGCATCTCGTGCGTGAATACATTATTGTTTAACGTGCTGCTTGTACCCTCGCACCATTGAGTCTCCTTCATCACTCCGCGGGATTTTTTGTCTCCATGTCTTCGTTGCACAAATTGTAAGCCCTTCGTGGTATTGAACAGCAACACATGCAATGGTGGCGCTACATTTCTCTGTCACCGGGGCAGCCACAAGGCCGTAACAGTAGAAGACCTCCTTGTATCTTGCGTTCCCGTCCTTCTTGTAATTATTATTATTCTGACGGTCGCACACCCCCACGAGGTTATAAATCTTTCTTCTCGTGCTTAGAGGTTACAAGTGCAGTGATGGTTCGTAATATGCAAAATCCCAGGTGACAAGTCGGACGGCGTTACGCTGTCTCCTCAGCCGGTCTGATATCAGTTCCCCCCATTTGATTGGCATTCCCCACCAATCTTCTCTTAACTGCCTCTGCATCCATTCCGGGTCCATACTTCACGGACCAATAAAAAAAAGATAAAGAGAAAAAAAAAAACAAAGAAACACATACATCAAAAGCACAGATGAACGTCGGTCAATGCGGATAAGCACGCAAGACGGATTGAAGGTTGTTCCGTTTGCCACTTTCGCGCCGATGAATTTGATCGACAATATTGAACTTTGTGACGGTGTTAGTTTTTTTAAGTTTTTTCGTTTTACCCTCTTTGTTGCGGCATGTTATCACGGTCGTCGCCACGTGAATGGCGATCCTCGACCTTTCGTTGATGACACGCAACATTGCATCTTTGATTTCGTTGAATAGACGTCTGACAAGCTTGAGCGTCGCCCTCCTGTAGTTGCTGGTTTCGAGTGTCGACGGTACCTTCGTTCGTTCAATCCGTGTTTCGCACCGTGTCAGGCCACCGTCTGATTAGAACGCCACGCACGTTACCGATCCATGATGCTCATCACCCCTGCCCCACATGTGAACAAACCCCAATCCGTAGAACACTTGGGTCCATTTGCCGGAGTCGTGGCTTCCGAAGTTCGCATCCGGCACTATCGTCTTGGCGAGCTTGTAAACTCCATCTCGCATCTCGTCGTACCACAACTCAATTGAGGGCCAAGATGCGCACCAGTCGGTGCACTCTATACCGACAGCTCTCATTTGCGTTCTTGTCTTCCATGAGATGAGTTCCTGCCAGCGTCAAGATGCAAGAGTGTGGATGAATGGTACACACGTGCAACTGCTATGTGATCATGTGGCCACGAGCTGGATCCAAGTCCCATTTACCTGTATCCTTCATTACAGACCGCAGATTGCAGAGGAGATCTACGGTCACAAGTGCAGGATTTCGGCAAGTGGGTCTTGGCTCCTGGGGCGAGGTCCCACTAGCAAAGAGGATTGAATTGAGCTCCTGAATCTGGATGTGTTTTATGCACAGATGCCAAAATGCAGTTCAAGCTCGATTTTCTGCACCTCTCTTCGACATAGTCCAGATTCAGGCATTCAAGCCAACCCTCTTTGCTAGTGGGACCTCGGCCCTGGACTCCTACTTCGTCGATGGTTTCAATAATGGTAGGGACTCCCTCATTTTTTCAAAAACCGAAAAAAAAAAGAAGCTCACGTCGAATGGTAAAACCGAAGCAGTGTCAAGTGGAATTCCTCTGTTTTTTTTTTTCTGTTTTGTTTTGGGAGGGGGGAAGGGGGGGGAGGGGGGGGG